AATGCTCTTTTTCTGCCCCATTGCGCGATTAGCAAGAAAGGAGGCTAATCCAAAACATGACTATAGCAGCACGACTAATGTATTGTAAGCAGAGGAATGCAGTGTATTTTAGGAATGCATTTTTTTTCGGACCCAAATCTGAATGGCTTAGCAGTTAGCACCGGCATCTTTACAGCAGCCGTTGATCGTATAGCTTTCCTTTGACATCATGTCCACTGTGTAGCGGTGTGTCCTTTGCGGCGTCCGTGTGAACTTTTGCTCCGTTTTCTTTCCATGTTCGAGGTCTCATTTCATGTCGACACACCTCATAAACCAGTCTCATTCAGCTATCATATATTCAGCTCAAGTTCAGGTAAGAGGAGGTGAATGCGGAGCTCTGACGACGTATGATTTAGAAGCAGTGGTTGCTTTACCTAAACTCCAGGCCACGCTCCAGGCCCTTGTGCCGCCTCTGTGGTCTGAGGAGAAAAGTAATTACTACAGGGCCTAAAGCCACCAGCTTTGGCCTTTGGACCTCTGCTGCCACATCCTGTAAGCTGTGGCTTCACCTTTAAAGGATCCTTTAGCTTTTTTTCTCCCGACCAGTACGCTGTCTTTCTCTTCTCTCGTCCAATTAAAACCACTTCCCTCTCGACATCTTTTCACATTTTTGAATTACCACTTGATTATCTAGCAGGTGTCTCTTTGGATTCAGCATGTCTTTATCTATCAATTTCCTTCTCCGCCACTTATCTTCTTCTCTTCTGTTCATAGTTCTCTTCATCTCCACCAGCCTCCTCTAGAGTGTTGCCAGAGCGCGGCGAGCGTCTTTGAGGGAAACCTCCGCACTTCCCAGTAATCACCACTTAAAGGGAATTCCTCCTCCAGCAGCAGGCCTGCAGTCCTGCATCTTTGAACATTTGATGGTTTGATGGCTATAATTTGCCTAAAATAACACCAATAAAGTCATGAAGCTGTAAATGCCTAACTATAGCTAATGTACCAAGATGAAACACAATACAGCCTTTTGATTTTGTAGCTTTCAAGAATGTCTTGGTTCCTTACTTTCTATGGAATGTGCTTTGAGGAGTTGTTTCAGATGCATCTGTATTGTTCTACATACATGATCTATTTAAAGCAGTTGTAGTTACAACTACTATGCCTGCTGATTATCTCTAAAATACAATTTAAACTGGAACCTTTGAGCCACTAAGCTAAGACGTTAATCTTCTACTATTCTGCAATATTAATCATCATTGCCCAATGCAAGAGGCTTTACAAACATTACCTCACAAGCAACATCAAATCCAGTTAAATGAGTAAGCAGTTGAATAATAAGCAGCATTAAGCCTGCGCTATTATAACACCTCAGTAATACATTGTTCATGCTCCAGCCAATAGGAGGAGGTGGCATCTTTCAAAAGCAGGGGAAAGCCCTGAGCAGGAGTAACAAACTCCACCTGAACTGCCTCTGGAGTCAAACCGTCCCCCTTTCTCCTCTCTCCTTTCTCTTCCTCCCTCCTGGCCTCGGTTCGCGTTAGAAATACCTGTCGCTCTCATTTCGTAGCAGACACTGAACACCTCAGCTTAGTGGACCATGAAGAAAGTGAATAAGAGCTTCCTCTTAGTCGGACCTGAGAGGAGAGACGGGTAAGATTGCAGTGGGAGCTCCAGCTGGGAAAATGCACGTTATACGGATGTAATAAAGAAGCATATTTACCCACAATCGGCTGTAAATTTGCATTGGTATGTGACCTGCACCAGGTTGTGTCTAATCAGTGAATCCCAGGGAGGAAAGCCTTCTCCCAACAGGCCTCGCTCTGTGTCATGTTGACACAACACAGCGGCCCGTCACTAATCTCCATCATACCTGACCTCTCCACCGATGGGTCAGACTTTAGGGTCATCACATGACCACAAATGAGGCGCTAACATTCACAAGGGCCTCCCATTCTAGCTTTACAATTGGCTGAAAGATTACGCCTACTGACAGGTTAAATCGCATCATATGACAAGTTCCCATCTGTGTTGGATGATAGATACAAAAAGCAGGTGCCCGTCGTCTGCGCCTATGTTTATAACAAATCCCTATGCTGATTGTGCAGAGATTAAATGGAACTTGCACGCCTTTCAATCCAGTTCACGACAAAAGCGATCCTGTTTGTACACGAACAGTAATCGTGTCCGCAACCTCTTGTCTTTTAATGACCGAATAAACAAAACAGCAGACATAATAGTGCGGTGCTTTTGTCAAGGGAAAGGGCAGAGAGCTAGTTAAGGAAGGAGTCTGGCCCCACATGAAAAGGAACAGGGAGGACGAGAGACGCCTGGGTGTTCCTCCTGCATTGTTCAGCCTCCTGCCTCTGAGGGACACCTGTCATTGGCTGGGCGGTAAACACAGGTGCCTCAACCCCGCCTGATTTGTTGGCCTTGAAAGGAGTCTTCAGTCAACAGGTAGCGTGAAGGGAACAATAGTCATGATCCTGAAGAAGACAGAGAGAGAGAGAGTGGGAGGAGGGTGGGATGGCTGAAAAAGAGAAATGGATTCTTTAGAAAGCACCTGAGGGTTTGTGTGAGATAATCTGTTTGCTTTTACCCACAATCCCTCTTTGTATGGCAGAGGCATGGCACATGTGTGTGTATTTGGTCATCCCTCTCTCCAAGAAACTCCTCCTCCAAATGGCCTGTGCAAATTCAATCATCCACCTTCATCCCTCTCTGTTTCACCCTCTTCATAACCTCGGCCATTTCCATGGTTACACCGCTGTACCCGAGGCTCAGAGGGCTACACAAGCTCGTGGTCTCTCATGGCACGGGCGCCTTGCCAAGAACCAGCCTTAATAATGTGATACTGTTACCCCAGTGCACCACACACCCTGGCCTCAAGAGCTAAGCGCTGCGGCTTGTTCCTACTTTGTTTGTGTTGACGTTTTCTATACGTGTGTGTGCGTGTGTGTGTGTGTGTGTGTGTGGTCTCACTGCCAGGGGGAATGCCAAGTTCCTTCTCACCCTGTGTGGAATGTGGCAGACCTGTGTGTAAGCCGGAGATCACTGTGGGAGGGGGAGCAACTAGTTAAGCCCACAAGACTGAAAGAAAGAATCAAAATTTCAATAAGTGACGCCATAAGTGCAATTTCTAAATCGGACAGCCTTAAAATTCATTTTAAAGTGGGTCATTCACACATTAAGTCGAATAAAGAGAAAATGTTTCATCATTGAAATCCAAACACCTACATGTTCATATACCAGATCTTATTTCAAGGTTCCTATTTCTATGATTTTATTGCAGGATGATGCATATGACCTAGTTGGGATCAAATACATAAATGAATCCAGGTAATTAAAACTAATTGAGCTGTAATGTAAAGGAAGCTGCTGTATGTATTTCACATACTGATCATTTTAAAATAGGATTGCTTGTGCACCTGTTCTCCACTTTTACAACCCAGCCACAGGTGGAAACCCGTTTAATGTGAGCAATGGTGGTTTAATAACCATCTCTATTTAGAGAGGCCGACCTTTCAAAGCCGGAGAATGTCTCTTGTTTCCCTTCCTTCTTTTAACTGTGGCCATGGTGATAAGGGGACAATGTGTGTGTTTTGCGTCTACCCGTGTGTGTACGTGCATGTGTGCTAACGTGTGTGTTAGAGAACGCTGTTATTTCCTCTTCCCGACCCAAACACTAACCAAATACAGATAATTGAATCACAGTGTGTCCACTTAGCAAGAGTGTGTGTGTGCGTGTGTTTACTTCTCTGTGAATGTGTTTGCAGAGCACTTAGAAGGAAGCTTGAGCTCGCGTTTGGAAGTTTTCAGTTGATAAAATAGTAAAAATAATTGCATTTCTCTGAAGTGTCTCAGTATCAGTTTGATTTATTGATAATAACCTGACATTTGAGAAGCTAAGACTTAAAGAAAAGTGTTTGTTTCTCCTCTGCAGCAGCCAGCAGATAAATGCTCCAGATAAGTTCAGAAGGACATTACGGGACAGTGGCCGGTGGATCAGCTCGCTCCTTTATCTGTGATTTCCTTCTCAACGTCTGGAATGTCAATGGTGGCTTTGTGATGGGCTCAGTTCTCCTGAGTGACTGACTGGCTGACTGGCAGCTCTCAGAGACTCTTAATAGGAAAGTAGAATCAGCCGAGAGACTTCAGTGTTTTAAAAGAATGAGAGCTTTTATGTGATTTGAAGCAGCCTCAGAGGTTAAATGAAAGTTCACGCGGCGCTTGTTCCATTTAATGGTTTATATAATGCTTCTATTGACAGGCTTTATACCAGCTGGTTGTGTGGTACAAGTAAATATAGTTACTGGCAACATACGAATAGAAATTGCAGATAAAAGCATTAAGAAAGACAGCTCCATGATGTCTGGGTAGGCGTATGCAGAGCTATGCCTCAGAATGCTCTCAGAACTCTGTTGCAAATCTGTGGAAAAAGCCCAGTGAGGCGGTATGTGTGTGCGCTGTATCCTGGAAGGAGAAAGTGTAATAATGTCAGGCTTTAAAAATCATCCTTGTCAGGTATTTTTTAATATCAACCAGATAAGTGTATGTTCCACAGCCATGACCCGGAGGGCTGACACTAACAGCTAAATAAGCCTCCGCTTTACCCTCTCTGTGTTATTGTGGTATTCTAGGCCCTGGAGGTGTCTGCTACAAGGAAGCAGTGATCTGTCAGGGCTTGCTGATATGCAGCTCCGGGAAATTAAGTGGAAACACTTAATTTTTGAACAAATAAGATCACAAGAGACTGTAGCATGCTGCCAACCCTCTCTGCATATGATGGTAGAATGAAATGAGGGATTAAATGGTAATTTAGCTTGGGCAATGCAAAGCAGTTGTAACCATGCCAAGTAAGCATTTTCCTCCTTATTGGTTCCAGTTTATTGAAATAAAATCATTCAGCTTAAGGATGCACGTATAATGCAAATCATGCCAAAGGGCTCAAGACATTGTCAATGTTTTGTGCATGTCGTGATTGACTGAAGTAACAGCTGATTTGGCATTTTGCTGTCTCATAGGTTACCTGTCCAAAGTGTTGAGGAACCACACAGAGCAGGCCTGTGACGGAGACTTCCTGTCTGTTCGCTGCCCGCCCCGCACCACCATCACCATCCAATCAGCTTTCTATGGAAGGAGAGGCACCTCTGACCGCCTACAGTGCCCTCAGACCTACCAGGCCCTCCTAAGTTCTTATAACGCCCGGGAGGATGACCGATATTGTTCTGTGTCCACCGCACTACAGGTTAGTAACTAAGCTCGCACCTGTTAGTGTTTTGTGTCAGAAAAGGAACATTTTGTCATCATTTTGGTTACTTTTCTTCTTTTTTTAATAGGTTGTTAAAAGTTGTCCCCGGTGTCTCCCATGTCTCCCAGACCCAGATCTTTCTCTCTCTGTTTTTGGCTTTCGTCCCTCAGTTAGTCCACTCTTCTCACACACACGCACACGCACACACACACACACACACACACACACACACACACACACACACACACACACACACACACACACACACACACTCTCAAATCACTTGTGGTCTGCAGATCCTTCTGGGAGAAAGTGTCCTGTACACTCCTAAAATTGGCCAAGGGTTATATTTTGGAGGACCACACTGATTATGTAATGCTTTGTGAGGATGTTTTCCGGCAAATTACACTCTCTAAAGAGGAAGCATGCTTGTTCCCATGACACAAAGAGATTTCATGGGGTCTTTGCCTCAGCATCCTCTCCTAAATTGGGATGCGGCTGGACTAGAAGCCTCCCTTTGCAGCACCAATACAAACACACACAAACACATCCTGTTCAGCATTCACTGGATCCTTTGGTTTATTCTTGGTCCCCCTGCCTTCTAGCGTCGAACACCCTCCGTTTCCATAATAGACAGGATAGCCATGAATGCACAGACACAGAGAGTGCATTGTACTGAAGTGAGAGAATGACTGACTGCTGCGCCACCCACATTAGTACAACCCTGAAGAATCCCATCGTACGACCTGTTCGTGACCCCCGGTTTGTTGGTATTACATATACCTATGTCTCCAAATAAAAATGCTTGCTTCAAGGGTATCCCGATCTAATGGTTATGTTCATTAACCGTCAATCTAATGATTTGATTTAATTCTATATTTAATCTATGAAATGTCCATAAATAATCTAAATCACCAAGTATGTGTACACATACAATAAACTTGACTCTGGTTGTTAGTATTGCTCTCAGTGCACAGAAATAGATAACAGCTGGATAACAAAGAATAGACGGGACTAAAACTGTTCACAAGTATGTGAAAATAGGTGTATATATAAATATATAAATATGCATAAAAAGCACCTATGACCTACAGAATAATAAAATATAAAATGTCTATATAAAAGTGTTAAATGTAAATAGTGCGATGAAATAAATACTGAATACATACGTATACACATGGACTGAATGTGTATACTGTATTTACAGCGTGTAGAATATATATTGCCAGTGACAGTTGATATGTAGATATTGAAAACTGTAAAATGATAGTCTATAATGGGAGCAGTGGATGTTTAAATGGTTAGATAACATACCATTAAGAGTTACCATGAACAGTTCCAAGAGATGACATTTTCAGAATGTTATTTAAAAAACAAAGGTATTTGATTAACAATGATGTAAAACGGAGGAAAAACAGATATATTTGAGAAGCTGTGAATTGCAAGTACTCAGCATTTTAGCTTGATAGAAGACTTTAATGATCAATTGATTATAAAAAGTAGTTGCATTTTTAGTAGTAATTAGTTAATTGACTAATTCTTTCACTAACACAAGTAATCCTCACATTGCAAAGCGAGTAGAAGCATTCAGCATTGTGGTACTTCTAATTGATTATCAGTGTGTAACCTTTTCCATCAAACATTTAATAATGATTTGGAGATATGTCTCTGATCAATTTTACCTTAAAATGTTGAACTGGCTTTAATCTATGTTTTCTATTTCTGTCAAAAAAAATCCCTTGAAAGGGACCTGCATATGCATGAAAACCCTTGTTTCTCCTTCTGCATTCCACTATTGGAGTAAATGCTTCTCCTTCATGTTAAATTGGGGGCTGGTGGCTCTGAACAGAATCCATTGAGTCATTCCTCCAGCCAGTGGGATTTCACTATCGGAGAAGCTATTGTGTTGGAATGTGCTCACCTGGCTAAAGATGATGAAACTAGAGAAGCAAAAGGATGCCAGGAAATGAGATGAGTGGAGCTTTCTCTTTACCTGCTCCTCTCTCCTCCTTATTCCCATGGCTATAAGCAGCATGTTTGAAGTGGTTTTAGGTTTGCCTCACCATCGTTGCCTTTTTGTTCTCCCACTAAACCTCTCTTTGGTCTTCCCCCGCTGTCTGTCACTCTGTCCTTCTTTAGAAAATGCTGGACGAGTGCCAAGACAGAAGGAGCTGTCAAGTCCTTGTCAACAGCCGCGTGTTCGGGACGGACCAGTGTCCTGACAGCAGTAAATACCTCATTGTCTGGTACAAATGCAGACCTAGTAAGTCCCTCACCGCCTCGTATCTTGACAGTGACACACATTTCTGTCTCTATGTGCTGGGACAGGTTTTTTTTTCTTCTCTTCTCTCACACACCTCCACATTGTTATTATTAGAGCTAGGAGAAGGTGTTGCTTTGAAGTGTACATCGTCCTTTCAAACAATGGCCATGACGTAAATGGCTGATTTCTACTGAAATTGGTCATTCCCATATTATGTATATGTACTTTAGGTGCATCCATATTTTTAACTGAACTTTGAAATGTACAAAAACAGTGTGTAGATTTGATCAGGTGCCGCTGTATCCTCCGTGTACGGCAGCAATGCAAGACATGGAAACTGGACAGAGCGGCATAAGAAAGCCACGATAATAAACACTTTTGAGTAAAAAGTTTTTTTGTTAGGGACTATTTTCAGCCGTGGATTAATACACGTTTGGTGCGCTAGTGAGTATTTATGCGCTAGTGAGTATTTATCAAAAACTACAGTGCCCATGTTTGTCCTAATGAAGGAACATGTCACCGTGTGTCACTGTGTTTTTATGGGACAACAATGGAGGAATAATTGTTTAATTATGAATTGAATATTGTTTACCTCACAATGGACCGATTTCTCCAATCATTTGCTTCACTATAAATTCGACACCGAATTAGGCGTCACAGTATCTATGTGAGTCTTTCCTTCTGCTGCCGTCTTCGCTGCTTCATTTAAAAGAAGAAGGAAACCCTCTTTGCATGCCTCTCCCTTTATCCCTCTCCCTGTGAGCCAGGAAGCTAAGAGTATCACTCCAGAGGGGAGCCACAACAGTGCAGTAATCCCACCCAGATTCTGGTCTCCATTCATGGCTCAGTGCTGTGCTGAGCCGAGCCGCACTGAGCTGTGCAGCAGTTCACACTAGAGTGACCAGAAGTGGGCATTAATCCACTGATCCCCCCCCTGCCCTCCCCACTTTTTCCTTTTCCACTGGACCCCGGGGCCAATCAACAGATCTTTGTTCACTGTCACTTAACCAATGACTTCTCAGGGGAAGAGAGAAAGGCTGCATGGGGTGTTAGTGAGGTGCAACGGACAGGTATCACTGCCTCTGAAAGGAGAGGTGGATAGAGGAAGTGAAGGAGAAAGGGAGGGATAGAAAGCAAACAAGAGTGAATCCGTCACCAAGAGTCCTGCCCCCTTTTCCTCTGCTCTCTTGCTCTCGCTTCTTTCTGCATTCCTGTTCCACTCCCCACATGGACGTAGAAGCGGCTGCTGTTGTGTTTTTATTTGCTGGCCAGTATAGAGCTGCTCTGTCTGTCACAGGTCACTGTGGCTGGATGTGTGTGAGGAATGCCTCTGCATGGCTCTACATGTCCACTGAGCAACTCCACCTCTGTCTCTGCCTGTTTACACTCAATGAAGCAGTCGTCTGCTTTCAGTGCTTATTAAAAGTGAACGGATAACGTAATGTCTCGTCGGCAAGGCAAGGCATGAAGTTAACTGAATAATTGGGTACCAACTCAAATATTTTGTTAATTATAGTGTTTTAGTGATCAAATCACATAGAAAGCAAATATTGTAGCCATAGATGGATTATTCTGAAATTCAGAATTGCTTTATTTATTCAATTTATTTATTTTGTTGCAGTTATTCCAGATCTATGAGCTTCTAATATATAAATCAATCAGGAGAGACAAGTCTGATAAATAAAAGATGATATGTGATGATAAAGTCTTTACAGAGTCTTTGGCGCTTGGACTCAACAGGGAGATTTGCAATCGAGGGGCGTCTGCCCTAAGCAGCAGCAGGATAAATCCCCACGTGGAGTCCAGACACTGGTGGTGGTGGTGGTGGTGGTGGTGGTGGCTGATGATGAGGCTGATAGAATGATGAAGTTGATGAAGCGGATTAATCTGCGAAGATTGGGCGGAGATGGGAAGGTGGAGGGGTGCGTAACAGCAGCATGAACGTACATGATTAGCTGACAATGTAAGTGTGTCGCTGTGCTATTGGATGAAGGAGACCAGCTGATCTAAACAGATCATGATTGGCAGCCCTGAACAATGACAGCAAGGAAATAATGAGTGAGCATGCGTGAGGAGTGAATGGCAGATGTATGAGAAATAAACTACAGGATAGGCACGCAAGAGTATAGTCTTCCTGACTGAACTTACTCTAGAACTTTCATTAGTTCAATTTGTTTAAATTGTAAACATAACCTTTGGGAAGAAACTGGTCTTTTGGTTTTTCATTATTTGTAACACACATTGTATACTCTGTCCTTCTATCACCAGACGAGTATGAGAGTAAGGTGGTCTGTGAGGAGGAGAGGATGAGGCTGAGCTGCAAACGGGGTATGCAGATCGCCGTTTACTCTGCCATGTTTGGCCGGACTCAACAGGGCACCCTGGAGTGTCCCCTGCACCACAGGAGGGCCCCGTCAGTAGGTGAGGCACCTTCTCACGCTCACATTGAGGGTAGCAAGAGAGGAGATTTATGCAGGAGTAGCAAGGAGCTCACTGACACAATTAATGTGAGTTTGCAAACATATGACCAGTTAGCAAGTCGGAGAGCAAAAGATGTAATATGAAATATGGTCAACATATCTGACACTTTAAAATGGTGTTTAATTATGATGTAAACTGGGAAGATTTTAAATTAGATTTCACAAAAATAACACACAAATATCTCAAATCACTTGGTTGAAATAGAAATGAGCTCTTCAGAAAAGAAGACACTTTCTCTTCGTCATGACAGCTAACTGCTGGCGTGCTGACAGGTTCTTTCAGAAAGAGCTGCAAGCCTCGCAGCAACACACTTGACAACAACACATTGATTGACAGACCTGTGATGTATTGTTTATAAAACAAGTATAACATTATTTAAATTTTACAATTTGGTAGTGATTGGTGAAAACAGGGACATTTTTACTGATATTTGTCGGCACTCTGGACACTTAGCTCGAAACCAGACCTCTGGTCACCGCAGTGTAACTTGATTAGTAAATCACTAGTTTGATAGCAGTAATAGTTAGTAGTTCGCTAGTTGGCTAGCTATAAGCAAACTTACTAACTACTAAGCAGGAGATCAAGCCAACTTATTAACTACGAGCTAGAAAGGACTTAGTATGGTCTCAACAAACAAACGTAGAAATGGATTTACGAGTAGCCAGTCGGACCCAATCCTGGTTTCTGGTGCAGCAAGACGTTCCTATCAGGTCCCAGGCTGCTGTGTTGATCATATGATCAGTACTGTTGACATTTTTAGCATTTGCTCCATTCATAGCATCAGTCTTGGGGTCAGTGTGAGGTCAGGAGAGGAACTAGATTTCTTACATGAAGACACGAGCTGGGGATGCAAATCGAGTCTATTTGCCTTTGCATGATGTTAAAATGAGTCTCCTTGTCCTGCTAACGTTCTCATGCATATTCATGATTTCGGAGAGAGGAGCTTCAGGTCACTCTCGGCTTTGATTTGTTTCTTTTTGCCAAGATATATCTGAGCAAATCATACCAGGAGGCATTATGCATCCATCCGATGGAAAACATTTTTTATTGATGAGTTTTACACGTCAGGACTCGAGCACCTCAGAGCCTCAAAGAGAAATACAAACACTACCAGGCTCATAACTCTTGTTAAATCCCTCCATTCATTTTCTTTGACTTGGGGTGATATTGCTTAGAGATGCTGTTGTGGTTTGGTAAGATTTTATAATTCCCCTTAAAGCTTCAGCTGCCTCAGAGGCTCTTAAGGAAACACTGGCCTGCCGCAGCCATCCTCAATGTCAGCCGTTTACGCAGTTCCACTGCCATTACTCTTCTTTACTTTTAGAAATATATCACTATTTAACATGTATTCATCTTGTTATTTAAGAAAGCATGCTGGGATATATAAAACCTCCACTCGAACTCGGGTAGATGCAGACAAACATGCACACACACACATTGCCAGGGGAATTGGGGTGGAATGTAGATCAGGTGTCTCTGTCATCTAAAGCGCAGAGTTTGGCCCGTAGAAAAGGGACAGTATTGAGTTCCCTCCAAGTATGTATGTGTGTGTCTGTGTGTGTGTGTGTGTGTGTGTGTGTGTGTGTGTGTATGCACATGTGTGTGTGCATGGGATATCCAGATGTACCCTCACCCTTGTTTAGGGGAATGTTAGTGACTCTAAGCTTGGATCCATGACAAGTATTAGTATGACCATAGCTACTGTGGTGGTCCTGGCCTCTTTACTGGGCAGCTCATTTATTCCGCCTTAACTAGCTCTGCCTTTGTTTCGTTAATGTATAGAAGGAAATGTACACTGATGTCTGTGCTTGTAAATAAGTAGCCAGAGCAGGTGGGAGTTTACTGTGTGCTAAAAACAGCTTGTATAAAGTTGCGTGGGAAGGCAAAATGTCATTTGTCGTGATTCCCAATTCAACAATGCACTACAGAGATGCCCTGAAGAGAGTGTGTGTGTGTGTGTGTGTGTGTCACAAAGGTGACAGGACGGGGTGGAAAGGCTGACACAGGCGTCAGTCACCGGGTAATCAGAGACATATATAAAGAATGGCATTGTGTGCGTCTCTGTGTGTGTTATTTTATACTATATGAGCATTGAGGTCTGCTTTGAAGCAACCTCCGCCACTCCTTCGCATGCAGGTGGACCCGGAATGTCGAGGTAGGTGAGACAAGGCTGGCCTGAGATCTGGTTTCAGACTCGGGATTAAATACAGTAGCCGAGTTCTCCCAGCATTGATGGAAAATTGACTCTACTGTTACAGTTGTACAAAAGCCGGATTAGAGCAGAGGAGAAGTTGTTTTACCATCAGATCTTGTTAACCTTGTGCGTGTCTACATGGACCGCACACTTGGACGTACACAAGCGCCTTGTTGTTCCTGGTCACACATTATACAGCATGTTTTTTCTACATCTCTATCAGATACACACACACATACACAGGCGTATACACCCACACTCCAACCACCCACAAACACCTCCTCAGGCTGTTCCAGACAGTCTAGAGGTGCCATTGTGGGATTTCCCGTCAGCTCCGTCTTTGATGTGGCTCCCGTGTCACTAGGAGCAGGAAGTGAGGGTGTCTTGAGTGACAGCTCAGAAACGAGCAGTTCATTTGAAATTGCTTTTATCCCCTCTATTTACTCTCCCATTTGAGGCGCTGTGGTGCCTCCCACGTGCGTTTGTGGCTGTGCATGTCTGAATAGTCTTGGGCTTGGCAGTCGCATTATGCGCAAGTTTGTTTTGAATCAAATTTGATTTCATGTCTCTTTAAATGTGAGTTTGAACGTGCCAACAAGGTGGGTTATAGTAATCTCCTAAACCACACCATGTTGGCAAGCCTCACTGCTGCCTTGTTGTGAGGTCATCAGCTGAACTCACACAGCTGGCCCCACCTGCCCAGGTGAACTATGCATAGATTCAGTCAGATAGACATTAGTGTGCAGCAGCTGGAAATTGTTGCAGCAGCAAGGAAGCAGGTTTCATCCTTAGACTGAGGTTGCAATTCAACACCAGCCACCTGTCACGTAGAGGTGGATCTTTCTCAGTGGCTTGCTGGCGACATTGTCTGAAAAGCAAACCTCTTCTGGATGTGCTTTTTTGGTCAACAAACCATATTTAGCTTGTGAATTCTGCTGTGTATTTACTACCATAGAGATCTGTAGACAGAGGCTATCTGGTTGCTTGTTGAATCCAAAGCCCTGGAAAAATATGATTGACAAGTGGATACGCGGGCCTGTGTGCACAAAGGTAAGACCTCTTTGATCTCGTCTCTTCCTTGGTTTTAGGGTGGGGTGGGAGTGGTGGAGTTGGACAGGTCTTGGCGGCGATGGAGAATCCTCAAAGCAAAGGGGCCTGCTTCAGCCCTCCTCTCTCATCTGCCCCATTACCATCACACACACCTCTTGACATCTAAATAGCCCCCCATGCTTGGCATGCAGAGTCTCAGACTGCTTCTTTTACTTTTTTTTTTTTTTTTTTTTTTTTTTTTTTTTGAAGGCCGTTGCACTTTCACTTTTGAGTATATGCTCCAGACAAGGCCCACAGCAAGATGTTTGAAACTGTGAGCACGGACTGACCGGTGTCTCATATGATCACAGTAGCTTTTAAAAGCCGAGCACGCACAGCTGCGGGTCAAATTTAACGCTTCGCTTTTAGAACTCTGTTCCAGTTGTTAGGGTGCAAGCTGCTTCTCAGTAGCTCTATCTGCATTTCTGTCTGACTTTGCTGCATACAGAGCAGATATGAAGCAGGATGTTGGTGTTGTTTTGGAATAGATTAGATAAAATACAGTTCTGTGTGTTTAAACCTGTTCGTGCAAGGTTTTAGGGCAAAAGGCCCCCACTGACTGGAATTCAGATGTGGTGTTTGAATATATGAAGTAACATGTTGTGAGTGATAACACACATGCTTGGGGTTGACTGTTTTCGTACCAAGTGCCTCTCACTCGAGAATAAACCGGCTATCAACTTACAAACACAGCTGAAGAGAACTCTCTGCATGTGTTTGTGCAAGTGTGCAAGGGTGTTTGTGTGTGTTCTCCTGGACACTTTTAGACTGGAAGTATACTGTGATACTTAATATTCACTATGTTACAGTGGAATTAAATCCTGCTGAAGTGAATAGAACTTAAACAGCAAATGTGTTTGTGTGTGGGAGAGCGGTCTCAAAGTTATTAATGACATTCATAGAAAGCACTTGGCATGTGCATGTCACTTCAAGCTAAATATCACAGCATCTGAAAGTCACTTTTATGTCACACAAAGACTTTTAATCCCACAACAATGACTCATGCCCCGCTAGCAAATGATACGTATCTCAGGTGAGTCAGGGTAGAAGAGGAGATGACTGCTATTTATCAGCCCGTCGTCTTGGAAATTCCAGGAAAGGTGTGCGTGGGTGGAAAACCTGGAGGATTGTTATGGAGCTTCGCTGTGAGGATTTTCTGGAAAAAGTTTTGAGCAAATGCTGCACCCACAACACACCCCACACTAGTCTCAATATCAGGGCTCTGTGTCAAGTGAAACTCAAAGGCAGCCTTCACAACGCACAAGAGCTCGAATTGAATGAGGTTATTGTCGCATCTTGGCTTTGTGAAATCATGCCGTCATGTTATGAAAATTCTTTGGCAGTCGGGAAACTGGACGCAATCCAAGGCTGATGCTGGTTTTAAGGCAAGCAAGCAGGAAGTCAGATGCATAATGGATGAGTGATGTGACAAACTGAGCTGCTGGTATATGGCGGCATATCAACTCCACACCTTAAAAGCAGGCAGGATGACGCTAGCAGAGGTTTCTCACTCTAGAAGGGCTCTGCTTTAGCAGTAACTTCAACAGTGTGATCAGTCCGGAGTGAGAATAAGTGTGTGTGTGTTTGTGTGTGTGTGTGTGTGTGTGTGTGTGAGAGAGAGAGGACTGTTGCATGCTTGTCTGTCTGTATTAAAGCTGCTAATGAGAGTCAGAGGAGGTCAGACCCTGAGGAATGCTCTTTTAAACTACATTGCAATGTGCGTGTGTGCGCGCACATGTATGCATGGAGAGCCAGTGGACAAAGAATAAATGTGTGTGTGTCTCTATCCTCTTGTCTCAAGAAGTCTTATTCTGTCACTGAATCCCCTCTACCTCTCCCCACCCCCCTCTTCCATGGGCCCCCTGCTCAACTAATCACCCAGTCAAGGAATCAAAGCTGCAGCTAATGGGTGCCTGTCTGTCAGTGGCCTCCCTCGTCAAAGAGGAAGGTTTTCAGCGTGGCACACCAGCTCAAACGAGCCCTCTGGGAAGGAAAAGAGAGAGGGAGAGCAAATGCACATCGGCCAGACCAATAGGTCATTGTGCTGCAGCATCTGCACATAGACGTTGATACAGATACAGGATTAAGGCTTTTAGACACCGACAGTTCACCAGTTTTTACGGTTAGGATGCTCAGCTGAGAGCGATGATAACCCCTGCACAGTCGATGCTGCTGCTTCTGTCCTCTCCTTGTGATGCGGCTCAGCATGTGATACAAAGCAGTGCTCAACTGCTGACCAATAATTGTTTTTCTTGCTGTCACCCCATGGATATCTTTTGGCATCGTCATCGTCATTTGATCTACTTTTTTTTTCTTGATAAAAATGTACTTCGTCTTTATTTTATCACACCGGAATGAACACCCCCTCCTTCCAATTATATTGTTATCAACCACATTACAGTATTATATCATTTTGCATTATAGTGAAAACTGATGCGGGCACGTTTCAGACATGTTTCTACTGCACTAAACAAGACAGAAGAGAGGTGTGTCTGTATGGTGAGAGGTGCACCAAAGTAACAGCTGCATTTAGTTCTTTGGAGAAACTCCTTTGAGACGAGCAGTGTGGCATTTAAAAAAAAGTGTATTTCTCAGAAATTTCTCATAAGGGATTTTTATCATCAGTCCCTTTCAATGAATCCAGTTGTGTTTTAAGTGACAGTGGGAACGGTCAAATCTTTGAGGCGTCCGACCGGTTATCCAGTTACACTGGTTCCCACAGGCTTCCCACCTACATCCTGGTTGGGAATTCCAGTGTGTCGGCTCCAGCTGGGGAGTGTCCGGTTGCCTCTTCGGACCGCGTCCAAGTGGCCAGACGTTGATTCAGGTTCACGGGACGGGACTGCACAGTTGGATCATTCAATGAATTCCCACTGTTAACACTGTGCATGAGCACTGGATTGCTCTCTTTCGCTTCCTGACTGGGACATTTGCCCTTTGACCTGTGCCATAATTCATTGTGGCCTGTTGACGTGTGAGCCAAGCCTTAACCAGCTTGTTCTCTCTACCTGTCTGATCTCTGTCTCTCTTTGGGGCCCACACTGCAAGGGCCCAGTGTCCACTTTCAAAGGCTCATCTCCTTCTGTTGTTTTTAGGGGTTAGATGGGCCATGGGGAACCTGTGGAAGTCATGCATGTAGAGCCACGGCCCATCCACATTCCCACAAGACTCAGCTGGAGGTCCTTTAGGACTTCATTAGCGTTCCTCACACCTCCGTTTGGGGTGTCACAGAAGTTCAAAATAGGTAGAACATAAAATACTGATTCCACAAGAGTAAGTTAGGCTCATTGTTCAAGTTTGGTTAACAGAACTTACAATATTTAAACAGCAAGTTTGCAGCCACAGGTTGGGTGTCTTTAGAAACACTCAATTACATTGAAGCAGAGATTATGGGATATTTTATCTCCAGCTCCCTTTTGCCAATGTAGTTGAAGTTGAAGTGTATTTGTCCTAGCAACACGGACCATGGTCTATGTCTTGCTGATTTCAGAAATGAAATGATGAGTCAGTTAATCGATCAGTCCATCACCAGAAACATTTTTGTTAATTGCTTAATCATTAAAATCGTTATATGTCTGTAGGTTGGACACGCACTATTTTCTAAACCAAACAATTAATTGATTGATCAAGAGAATAATGTGCAGATAAACTTCATAAACATTGTCCGTTTGTTGTAGCCTTACTTAAAACATAAACACAGTAAACACCGGGCTTTAAGTGAGCTCGAAAAAGTTCAATCTGAAGAGTACAAGCCCAGCGGGTCAGCATATCATCTCCTGTAGTCACGTTATTAACATGAGAGCGGAAGGAAGTGAGAGTGGGAAAAAGAGCCTCATCAGTCCGTCCACAATCCCCCAGAGGATGAGAGCTGCGGAACAGAGGGTCTGGAGGGTGCTTAGCGATGATGTATGAGAGTTACAACCATTACTATATGTCTGGTCTCCGTACACACACACACACATCATGGATCAGGTATCCTTTAGACAGTGTGAGGCCCCAGTAAGGTTTCTGTATATGGGGCTGATGAGGCTCCACCAGGAGGCTTTCATGGGAAGGAGTGTGTGAGATGTCCCCTTGCTCTCTCTCTCTCTCTCGTGTGTCTGTGTGTGTGTGCGTGTGTGTGTGTGTGTGTGTGTGTGTGTGTGTGTGTGTGTGTTGCTGTTCTAGCTGACAGAGACTCATGTAGTCCTTTTGTGCCTAAAGTGCTACTTGTCCATCAAACACGACAGTAGTAGTAGTAGTAGCAGCAGTCGCCGTAGTGGCCTTAGAGACTCATATGCAATATGAACTTTCAGTAATACACAGTTATGTAGACTCGGTTTCTGAAAAAGCATTGCAATTGGACGAGAGTTTCAGTAAAATCAGCATTTCACTAGCAGTTTATCTCTCTGCGTTGTGGATAAATAGACTTTTAAGCATAACCTTTAGGCTAACTATTGATCAATGACCACTATTCTTTTCAAACTGGCTAACAAAATATATTTCATACTGGTATGAAAATAGGAAAAAAATCTTTATTTTACAGGTCCTGTCTGTAATTTCTTAATAGTTTCCAAGGAAAACGATGTAATTTGGTACCAATTATAGGGAACATAAAAGCAGTGCGTGTAGTGACTCGTTAATTTGAGGTTTTAAGAAAGAACAAAGAAATAATAGTAGTTACATCGTAGGGTAGAGTTTATAAGCAGCTGGAAACTGTTATATTTCTTGCCTGAACTTTACAACTGAGAAAGACATAATCACAGAAGGCTTTGATAGAAGGTTTCACTATCAATTACAGTAACCATCTCCATTTCAGAGGTACAACTGACATTTTTTAACATTATTGATTGTTTTCCAGATTATTTAATTGACTAATTAATTAAAATAAATCCCACCATACAGCAATATCCCAGAGCCTTGACTTATCCATAATGTTTGTTTTGTCTGACAAACATTTTCCTATTATAAGCTAAGAAAACCAACAAATATTTAAATTTTAGGAGCTGAAACCAGTGGATATTTTTGTTGCTTGACTAATTGATGAATCAACTAATCCATTTTTCCAATTTAATTAGTGCCAAATTACAGTCTTTTCCAGAAACCTTCCTAAGAAGTGAGTTCCTTTAATGTTCCTGTGGACTTTAAAAGTGGGGAAAAATATAGAAGCAATAACGACAACTCCGCTTATAATTTATAATTCGGTCAACTGTATTATTTCATCAGTCTGGATGTCTGATAATAATTCAATACCTCCTCCTCTCCATCTTTTTGTCAGACTGCCAGTCGTCTGTGGCTCTGCAGGTTCTGACCGCCCGCTGTCAGGGAAAGAAAAGCTGTCTTGTTCGAGCCTCCACCAGAAACTTTGGAGATCCGTGTTACTCCGGCACCAGGAAGTACCTCAGTGTCATCTACACCTGTGGTGAGTCTCCATGCGCCTTTACCGAGGGCTTAATATTCCTACCACTAGGAGGTGATGTCCACTCACTGATCTGCTTGTCTACGTTTTAGCTCTCTGTTTCAGAACTACCAGCTCTAAAACAGGCTTTGTTACACAGAAGAAATGTATCTATTTTCAAGGTACGATGATAACGCTGCTGGGTGTCTAGTGTTATCTTATATGGATCTCTCCAACAGTGGACAATACAGGCGCCACGTATTGTCTTACCCACAGTGAGAATGTTGTCTTGGCTACTTTCATTAATCATTTGAAGAACTTTTCTATTTACTTAGAAATGAAATTTAAGGATTTCATTCAGAGACCATCATAATCACTTTGTAGACGATTAATGGTTTCTGAAGAAATGTTTTTTTCTGAAGTGAAAAAGTTAGGCGGAGATCAAACATGAAGTTCAAAGCTTCTTCATGTATTTTCCATGTTCAAGTCACACCTCCAAAATTAGGTTAAGAAAAACAACTTTGGCGCTGTATCTTCTATTTTGACTTAACGTCTGGAGAATGATGGTCTTCCTTTTTATCTGTTCCCCACCCATGGGCTAATCCTGACCCGTCAAGGCTGTAATACATTAACCCCATGCTTGGAGACACACTGACACACACACACATGCTATCCAGCACCAGGAATTGATCAATCAACACCATGGCCTGGAGCCTGTCATACCCAGCAAAGTCACTGGCACATAGACCCAGATCCAGACCAGGATCACTGTTACGATTTGCATTACAATGTGATTTTTGAGATCTGAATTTTAAGCTTGGATTTATAGAATATGTGGCTGTCTCCAGTGGGCTTGAAAATCACTATTATGTCCCTCGTAGGACTGTCAATTAACCAAATCCTGTGGGTGTGTTGAATTTTCCGCCTGTCCCTCCACAGCCCTTAGTGCTTGAATTTGCACATGAGCTGAATTATAATTCTTAAACTGTGATCACTGTTGTCCAATAAACCATCCATCCTTTATCTCGGCAACAACCGGTCAGCGCAGACAAGAACACACAGACCATTCAGCTGTGTTTATGGAGTCGCTTGGCTCTGACTGACCTCCCTTATCTGTCACTGATAACACGACGTGCTCTCCTAACAGCTCTGGTGCTGAGTTGGGTCCGTAAATGTGCGAGGTATGCAGGAGATCTTGAATGGTGTAAATGTTCAACAAAATGTGCCGCCTATGAAGAGATTAGAGACGGGGTTGCTGCGCTGCGGCGGGAGTGGAGAGGGTTGAACATGAGTAAATCAGTCTAGCTGTTGTAGACATGAAGTCACTGGCTGCCCCAGGCTCCAGCAAAGTGGTCATTTTGGGGGATCCTCTTTCATTGGTGGTCGAGTGTGTGTAGGATTGACCCCATTTGTGTCGGAGTCGGGGACGGAGGATGTCTGTCTGCACATGATTGGTTACATTTGTGTGTGTGTGTGTGTTGATCTTTGCAATACTTTTTTCCGACTGATAAAAGTGGTACTTACACAAAGTGATTGATAGCCCAAGATTTATGGACTTATTTATCTTTTCGAGTAAGCTTTTTTTTTTTCTTCGAAAATATGATTTAGTTTTGCTCTAAAATCCATGAAGTGAATGTGTTTGTGTGAGTTTCTGCACTGCTAAATGAACCACGCTGCCTGAAGGATGTGTTAACTCACTTAAAACCTTAACTCTCCCTGTCTAAGTGCTATTTTAGGGGCTTTTGCAGCTTTCCAAGAATAAATAAATGTAGGAAACAGCGTCTGGGGTTGGTGTTTAGGTGTACCACGCATGCAGGCATGAGTACATGTTTGATTCCCACGATGGACTTGCTATCGGCCTCTGCTTGCCGGTGATTTATAAAGCCATCAACCCTCTGAGCTCCAGCTTCTTCCTCACACACAGCCCCAGGGGTAGACTTGCTCCTGAGCAATAACACAGAAGCAAATGGCCCGGAACCTGCCATCAGTCTCCCGGCAGATCACACACACTCCGCACAGCCGCCGCTGTCAGGCTTCATTTCCATGCACTCCCCCTGGAGGAAGTCCCTATAGTTTATTTGTAGAAATAAAGTACTTCAGCCAGGAGTCCGATCACAGCTCTAAACATTTGACAGCCCTGTATTTTAACAAGAGGAAGTTTAAAACAAGTTTGCAGCAATGAGTTCTGTCTCGCAAATCATCTATAGCGTAAACTTGGAAATATTTACCCTCAGAGCAACTGTTTGGAAATGATGAATGAGCTTGCTCGGGGCACTTTCTTCAAAAGCGAGGTTCCAATATGCCCCCTTTGAAGTTTCTTTCTTGTAATGTTGCGTTGGTTACTTTGTCAAGGTTTGACCTACGCTATCTGAAGCTGCAGGAATGTATCCATCTATGTGTTTGATGGAAAAAGTCCAGTTCTGGCTGATGTTGTACGAGTAGTGTAAGTGTGTCTTTTGTCATGTGTAGGAAGCGTCCTATTTATACAGCTTGCTCAACCAGACCTCTGAGGCCTGTCCTGCAGCCCCGCAGCATCGTCCTCCCTCTGCGTTGTGAGTGAGGAAGAGATACAGCCTGAGGGATCTCTGCATGTTATGTGTGCCTTTTGTAACATGAAGCACTGCGATAACTTTAAACGTCATTTTACAAAAATGTGATTTATGGACGTCCATGTTGATGGAATCATATCCAGAAGAATCCATCTCTGCTTCCTGTGTCAGTCCCAGACACAGACCTCCCTGTACAGAGCACAGTTCTCTTCCTCCCCTGAGAGGTATTAAGGCTTCAGACTTTATATCAAGGCCTCTCTCCTAAACTGTCCCTAGCTCGAGAGTGTTCACCGTGGTGTAACGGATCACCCGGAACAAGCCACACAGCCTCCTTTGAACCATGCAGAGAAGACTTTCAGGCGGATAAAAGCCTAATCAACAGGTCTAATTTGTTTCATCGTCTATTCCTTTAGCAATTAGGATCCTGAAGGAGCTTTTAGAGACTAAACCGCAGGCATCGACAGAGGTGTGGTCACTAAACTGTGCTACTGCTATTTATAATGGACACAATCCGAGCAGTGGAAGCTCTGGCAGCCTACATGCCGCTCTGAGGGGGCGCTGATTTAGATGTAACAGGGGAAAGTAGAGGAAGATGAAGATGTAATTCAGAAACTTGAGGGTTTGGATCATCCCAATTGGTTCTGCAGACATACACACAGATGCATACACACAAATGTAAATGCACAAAGATACTTGAGGTACACATGCGACCGCTGCGAGCCGCACACTCCTCCGACTCCCCCCGCACACATTTATGTCATTTCAGCAGAGGAGACTGTGGGGAAGATGTTTATTTTGGCCCAGTTGTGTGGAGCTGCAGTCCAGGCAGGCAGGCAGGCAGTAGCTGCTGCAGCTGGGCCCATTCTTTCTCCCTTTATAGTTCAACCTACAGCTGCAGGACCAGAAGCTAAAACACACATTTAGATTCAAATATTAAGCTACTGCAATGTCATACACAGTCATAGATGTATGATGTTCATCAGGAAGTATCCTGATAAAATGAGTTATCACCGTTTGGTGATAACGTCAGAGGATTCTTGCTCTGATTGCATCATTATCCAGCGTATGACCCATCCCACCCATTGGGTGATTTAACATTGTAAAATAAACCAAGAACCAGGAAAAGGTGTTTGGTCTTTGACCCGAGTGTGATCCGTGGTGTGTCTGATTTTAGTGAGTGAAGAGGAAAGCAGAAAGGAATGAAGTGGCCCCTCTGAATGCTCCCCAGCCTCGTAACACAAACCTGACTCTGCAGAAACCCTGGAATAACAGCCGCAGCTGGCACTCTCAGGAACACTGCTGCGAGAAAAAAACACTCTCACGTGACCTCGGCTGACCTGCGTGTGTTGCATTAATAACGGTAATGGTTGGTTCAGCCAATGCCCTTAAAAGGCATTGAGTTAGATTGGTACGGTGTAACATCGTCTCTAAACTCTCTAAAGTAACTGGCTGAAGGTGGAAGCCACCCAGGGTGTGGTCTCCAGAGCAGGCCGTGAACAAGGAGGGAGTTTTATTTTTGGCGGGAACACACTGTTGCCGTGGTGATTTGCTGACGCAAGAGGGTTGTGGGACTGTGCTTTGCCAACAGGTTCAGTCAGCTGATGTCTGGCCCTGCACAGCGTCTCGTCGACTTGTGTCATCTGGTATCTGCAGCATGTAGCACAGCAAACAAGCAAATAACAGCAACGTGCTAAATCCCAACCTTACTTGGCTAAATGCAGTGTGGTCACACAAAATCTAGTTTAATACCCAGCCGATGTGGTCACTGGCCCTGAGGGAAAGTCTGTAAGAAGTTTAATCTGATTATAATGCATCTTGAACCAAATGGACAAGGTGTTAACTTCCCTTTTAAGTCCTCACGGCTTCACTGACTTTTCCTTTTTTTCTGCTTTCTTTTTTTTTCTCCACTCACATGTTTGACACATAGACTTTTGGGTTTCTCTTGGCTTACTCCGTCCCCTTTAGTGTTCCCAGTTTCTTTGTCCATGTCACCCTCACAACCTGCAGCCTTTCATCTCATCTGTCTTGCTTGTTTTTCTTCTGTCGCCATGCTGTCCACCATTTCCGACCCTGCAGACAGCGATAGCCTCGAGGTTAGAGCTGGAAGTTGACTGGTTCATGTCCCTGTCTATATGAGGAAATATGAGTCTGGTCATTGGGAGGGATTGAGTTATGCAGATACTATTGTCATAGTGCCTTTGAGCAATCCACTGAACTGACAACAGTGCCCTTCGTTTGTTATGTGGCAGCTCCCACATTGAACTGTATGTCACACAACCCATAGGCTTTAAATAACAGCGTATTTAACCAAAAGACATAATTCTGTTAGTTATCATAATATAATCCTTTAAAGTTGTTTTATTTAATATAGTACAACTTCATCTAAATATCTTCACAGAACAAGTTTATCCCTTTAATTACTTTGAATTAAAGACAGCAATTTCTCCAATGCAAGAAAAAAAGAAAGTTTGAGGT